TTTATTCCATCTCCAGAGCTCAGATATTTTAGGATTCAGTGCCAAAGAGTGATCAACCTGTTGAAATGTTAAGAGACAGTAAAGAATTTTAAAGTGATGGTATACTTGTAATTAGTATAGTTGAGAACAGATTTCCTTTTTTAAAATTTCACTTTGGTGAGAGTTTGGATTAGATGGAGTTGGTACCATAATAGATATCATGATAGCCCTGACAATTTCATAAATGTACTGTCATGATGGGTTTTTGTTCATAGCTGTGTCTCAAATGTGATGGTAGAGTTGTAGAGCAGTGTTTGTTGTGAGAGCAGTGTTTGTTGTGCAGTCCCTTGTAGAAATTTCTATCTTACGCAGTAGCCAGGGCATTAAGTGTTCTGTTGAAGGCATTCTACTATCCTTGTCTATTCCCCATGAAGAAATGGGTTCTAAGCAGTAGAACATAATGATGTAATTATCTTAAAGCTTTTCAACCGTTCAGTGTCTGGGAAAATGCACTTCATTTGAAGTAAAAATGTATGTTAGATAGTGACAGATAGTTGGCTTGCTGCAGCCTTACCTAGACTACAGCACATCTTTTAGGGTAGGTGAGTAGCATAGAACTCCTAATGAACATGTTAATGAGGATGTGAATAAAAACAAGCAGACAGTATTATCTGGTGATATGTTTATGTGAATGTAACTCTAGAACCTATAGGTAGAGTGTCTTCATAGTATCTACAATAGACATTTTAAGTTCTCTGTAGTGTTTCTAAACCCCCGAACTTAGAAGTCCCCAATATCCAAAGCCTTTTCATAGAATCTGACCAAGTAGAAAGAAATGTAACTTCACTAGGTTTCAGGTAGCTGCTCTCTTCTGTTGGCAAATGAAAACATTACCAAGTAGGTGGGACAAGTTGGATTTTTTTTCTCAGGAACAGGCTATTTACATTGTTTTTGTTTTTAAATTGTTCTCCTAGGAACAACTGTTTCACTGTTCTTTTGTTTTTGTTTTGAGATGATCCTTATACCTTTATTTCTGGAGTGCTGAGGTTGCAGGAATGCACTTCCACATCCAGTTTATGCTTTTTGTGGTGCTGGGGATCAACCCAGAGCTTTGTGCTTGCTAGGCAAGTGCTCTACCAACTAAGCTACACCCTAGCCAAGTTATTTTCCTTATCAGCTAGAGTTTTTAACCTTCCATTTGTTTATTAGAATATATTACCTTGTTTTTGTTCTGACCGCTTGCTCCCCTTATACCCAAGGACTTCTTCCCATTCTGAAAGTTTTATTATTGGCCTTTAGCTCTTCTGTCTAGTGCTTTAAAGAGTTCAGTCACCCCCTTTTGATGGAGGGAGCAGAATGTTCTGCCTGATATAATGTTTTGAGCAATGGTGAGAGACTGGCTTGTTATACCAAGGTGAGCATTCGATGATAAGCAATGATTTTTTTTTTTAGAAAACATTCACTTTCTCCATCCCATCTGACACCTAGTTATTAGTTACAGTTAATTTAAAAAGCTGTATTTCAGATGTAATTTAGCTTAGCTTATTTTAAAATCACCATTACTGAGTTGAGAGGCAGAACTATTTAAGGTGGCTTTCTTGGTGGGGAATAGGGGTACCAAGTGGAGCTTTGTTGAGTTTGCATGAAAGCACTTTTTTTTTTTCCCCCGGTTTTTCGAGACAGGGTTTCTCTGTGTAGCCCTGGCTGTCCTGGAACTCACTCTGTAGACCAGGCTGGCCTTGAACTCAGAAATCCGCCTGCCTTTGCCTTCCAAGTGCTGGAATCAAAGGCGTACGCCACCACTGCCCGGCTGCATGAAAGCACTTCTTTGCTGCTCTTTTAACATTGTCTTTGGTATATTTATTTATACATTGACCACAGTGTAAGATGACAATTTACTAGCAATCCAGAGAAGAAAGTAGGTATGACCTTCCCTGGCTACACTGAACTGTTAATGATATGGACCAGTGGTTCTCACACTTGAGCAGTCTTCAGGGTTATATGGGCAAGGCATATTGACAGGTTCCACAGTGTTCTGATCAGGTCTAGAGTGGAGTCTAACAGTTCATATGACTAGCCACCTTCCCCATGATGCTCTTTCTGCTCTGGCCATTAGGCTTTGAGAGCCACTGTTGGAGTGGAACCATCAGTCTCTGCATTAGGTAGACCAGCCTGATGAAAGTACGTAAATGCAAGAGGATTGTGGAGTAGAACCAACTTGATTTGCAACAGCCCATGTGAAATTGAATTCCAGACAGCAAATAGTATACCTTGTATTGTTTCTCCAATAAGTACTTAATTTTATCTAAGGTAGTTCACTTTGCAGACTTTATAACTACTTATCAGCAGTTTGGAGTTGGGGCTCTAGCTTTTAATTTCTTTTCTATGGTGCTTGTGTTAAATCCTTCCCACCCCTAGGCAGGGTTTGTCTGTAGCCCTACCTGTCCTGGAACTTGCTCTGTAGATCAGGCTGGCCTCAAACTCAGGTCTGTCTACCTCTGCCTGAGATTAAAGATGTGAGCCATCACAGCTGTCCAGCTTGTGTCATTTTAATAAGATATTTGGTTAATGAAAGTGCCTATCTCTTTGATAGTTTCCTAGCTTTTAGCAGCTGTATAATATCTCCCAAGTCTGAGGTTCCAGCTATATATGTTTTAGACTTAGTTTCATTTTGTTGCTAATGGTAGGTTTAACTATCTTTGCAGAATCAGGTTGTTTGATTTAGCTGTTTCCTGCATGTATCTTGAGCCTCACCTTTGTGGCAGTTGTTTTGAGAAGACACAAATTTTATTTTTAATTGGAATGTCTCTTTGTGAACTCACACCTTCTGTTTCACTTGCTTTTCATTCTTTTTTCATCATGCATTCCAGGTTGGCCATGCACTTACTGTGTAATTCAGCCATCTTCCGTCCTCAGCATTCCAAGCACTAGGATTGCAGGTGTGCACCATATATGCCAGGCTGTGACACACACTTGGGTTCTCAGCCACTGAGGTTAAATTTCCCAAATAGAAATTTAAAATATTAAGTGTCTAGGAGAATTGCCTTTCCTTCTCCCAACATTAGGAAGAGCCAAACTCAGGGTTTCATGTTAGGCAAATGCTCTACAATTGAGCTATATATATATTCTCAGCCCATTTTGTTGTCAGAACTTTCCCTGCTCATTTTTCACTGTCAGCTCTGTGATTTCATTTGTCAGTTAGACTTGTCACATTTCCATTTCATCTTTACCTCAATAGCCTACAGCTTTGATGATTCATTTTGTAGCCTACAGTTCTGTTGGTTCTGACACAAATAGAATGGTGTATTGTTATTTCAGTTTCATACAAACACATCTCATTGCCCTAAAGATCCCTCTGTTAACCCTTTATAGATAAGCCTTTTCCTTATTGACAACTCCCTAGCAATCACTGATATGTTTTTATCCTTAAAATTTTGCCTATGTTAATACTATATACATGGAACTCTTACAGATATGGAGAGGAGACTTTTGGGTCTGTTTTTCTTTCATTTAGCACCCCTCCCTTACCATGATATTGATAACAGGACCCAGGGCTTCTTATATACTAGGCAAGTACTCTGCTGAGCTACACCCCCAGTCCTAGCAAAATGTGCTTAAGACTGTACTATACCAAAGCTGAACATGTTGGCACACAGCTGTAGTCACAGCATGTGGGAGGTAGAGGCAGGACAACCAGGAGTTGAAGGTCTTCCTTGGCAATATAGAGATTGTAAGGGCTACATGAGACCTTGTCTTATCAAAAAAAAAAAAAAAATTCTACCATGTCTATGAGTTAATAAAAGTCATTCTTTAAGTGCCCTTTAACATACATTTTATAGGACTAAAAGTGAAGTGATTTAGAGAAAACAGAATAATGATAATACTGGTATATGGCTAAGGTTAGATGTTAGGAGTGTAATACTAAGGTTTCCCTTGACCTGGCTTCTCTGTCTGGAGTTAGCTATATATTCTGGAGGAAGCCATTAAACTTTGCTGCTTCCCAGCTTTTTTGTAAAATGAGCAATAAGATACCTGATCTGGAAGTTATTACCTCTTATCTCCCTAAGTATTTAGGGATCCCTTTAACATTAGCATCTTGTTGTAAAGCACCTTTCACCCTGGTCTTTGGAACAGCTTGCTGAGGCTTTGGAAGGACCCCTGGTAAGGGTTTGAGTCTGTCCATTGGAATGAGATGAGCCTTCAGTGCAAGGTTTCTAGGCCGTATCTTTTTCCTTGGGGTTGTTAAATTCCAGGTACTTAGAGCCCAAGTTAGTATGTCTGAGTGGGACTGGTGATACCATAAATCTCAGCATATTTTGTGGAAGCCTCTTCTGGGACTACAGCATTATTTAAATCTCAGACCCTGTAGTCTAGTCATTAGATAGATTTTTCCCAGGAATGTCTATAAAGATTAATTATGGAAGGCCACAGTTCCTGGAATCTTTTTGTGGATCATTAATGACTCATTAAGGCACATAATTGTGATAATAATGTGCTGAAGGTCAGGGTCTATTTGAAAGTGCTTTACTGATGATAGAAGCTTACAGCAAACTGGGAAAGCAACCAATGGCTGCTTAAAATTACTGACCAGATTCTTTGTGCTTTATGCTTTTGTTCTCTCTTCAACTCATTCTTTCTCTCTTCCCCTCCCCCTCTCCTTTTTTGAGACAGTGTCACTAAGTTGTCTCAGAGCTCACTGTGTAGCTCAGAATGTCCTAGAACTCAGGCTGTCTCTGCCTCCTAATTCATGCCCCCCCCCCTCTGGTTTTTCAAGACAGATCTCCAAGTAGCCCTGGCTGTCCTGGAACTCTCTCTATAAGTCAGGCTAGCTTCAAACTCACTGCCTGACTCCCAAGTGCTGGGATCAAAAGCATGTTCCACCACTGCCGGGCTAAATTTCTCTCATTTAAAAATTGAAATGGGTCGGGTAAATAATGGAAAGTGTTTGAATTAGTATACACTTGCTATAATTTGTATTTCCATGTGGCACATAGTAATGTTTATTTTACTTTTACTTGTAGTAATGAATGTTATAACAGTTGAAGACTATAAGAGCACATACTGGCCAAAATTAGATGGTGCCATAGATCAACTTTTAACCCAGAGTCCTGGTGACTATATACCTATATCCTATGAACAGATTTACAGGTAAGTCACCATTTAATTTTCCTGAGTTTGAATGAGATTTTATTGCTGACAACATGAATGTTATGTATAAAGTGTGTAAGATGAAGTTGGATGTGTATATTCTTCACACCACTGTATTGGAGATTTGGTTCACAGGTGGTTTTCAAATCAAGCTACTCTATTAACTTCTGCCTCTGATTGCTTGCCTTTGTCATACAGAGTAAAAAACCTCTGAGGCCGGTAAAAACAACTAATGGAGTATCTGCTTTACAAATATATATATATTTTTTTAAGGGAGATCCTTGTTAGCTCTGTTGATGCTTAGTGATATGCAATTCTAGTTCTCTTTGATATTTTGTTACCTAGCCTCTGATAAATGGAAGCATCAGATTAGGAACTAGGGTGGGAAATGAGATCAGCTGAATAGTGACAGGAAGAAGTGACAGCTGTATTCCCCACAACTGGTGTACAAGGAGGATGTATTGCAAACATCTTTGTGAGTTAGAAACTTTCTCTATGCTGGTTATTACTCTATTTTTTTATTTTGACATGCATTTTTTAAAAAGAGTGAGAGCAGGTGGTTGATAAGTAGTTACCATATTTAGACCATAGATCATCACTCAATTTTTGATTCCTTATTGCCTATTTAATATGTACTACCCAGGCCATTTGAAGTTAGTTAGTTGGCAATGTCCTTTCTGTCAGAACACTGACTAGGGAGGGTAGATTTTTCTTAGTTTCTGGTTGATTAGCAGCTGTTTTAGGTTGGTGATTTGTATTTTGTATGTGTGCTTTAACATGGGATTGCATGGAATGCTTCTTCATTGACTTGGTTTCTGTGCCTTGTTTCTTCTTGCAGTTGTGTGTATAAGTGTGTGTGCCAGCAGCACTCAGAACAGATGTATGGTGATCTGATTAAAAAAATAACCAGCCACTTAGAGCGAGTCTCCAAGGAGCTGCAGGTAAGAAGTTAAGTGCATCTGTGTTTGCTGCTTTGAATGTTTCTGATAGGGTGGAGCTAGGCTGTGGCTTGAACAGTTGGGATCTTATAAGTCTGATTTAACACACAAGTATATACTTTCTAGTTAGATATTGACTGAATGATCTAATCTTCAGAGTAGATTGAAAACTTGACATAAATTATGTAACTTTTCTAACCCTTTCTTTTATTTAAAACTTTGTTTTTTTCTATTAACTTCACTATCTGGTGAAATTTAAATATATATTGTTTTTTGAATTCGAGTTCTGTTTCAAGAGTGAGTGTTTTCTCCTACTAGTTTCTAACACTTGAAGTATGAACAGCTGAAGCCAGTTATTGGCAAACTTGCAGGTGATCTTACTATCTGGGTAACAGCAGAAAACCCTCATTGGGGTGTCTGGCCTCCTGGTCTTTCCCTCAAACACACGCTAGCTTTGCACCAGAACCTGATCCTACTTGGATTCTGAGTAGAAGTAACAGGGCCTAGAAAACTGACTCATATTAGGTAACCAAGGTTCACATCAAGGTGAGCAATAGCTCCAATAGTAGACTGTGTTTGAGACTTTTTTCACTCACCTTCTATTCTTTTTTATGTTTATCTTGTGTATGGGGGGCAGTGTGTACATGTGCCACATGCTGTTGTGCTGCAGTTGGTTTTCTCCTCCCTCTGTGTGGGTCCCTGGGTAAGCTCAGGTTATTAGGCATGGTGTCAGGTATCATCTTTACATGCTGAGCCACCTAATCGGCCCAAGGGTTTTGTTTTGTTTCCTTTTTAATCAATTCTAGCCAGAACTACATTTTCTAAAATATATAGCTTTGCCTATTAAATTGTCTTCACCTTTTTAACTGAATACAGCTTATTCATTAACATACATAATACATAATACATGTGTGTGTATGTATGTATATACACACACACATATATGAATGAGAGAGAGAGAGAGAGAGAGACAGAGAGAGACAGAGAGAGACAGAGAGAGACAGAGAGAGAGACAGAGAAACAGAGAGAAACAGAGAGAGAGAAAGAGAAAGAGTTGTTGCCATCCCTCTGGTTTCTATCACTATCCTTTCATGAGTGCTTTGGTGATTGTTCTCACTTGCTTTATGTATCTAAGTTTATTTAGCCATCTTTTTATTGATGGGTCTTTGGGTAGTTTTTAAACTAATAACACTTTGATGAACAATCAATCTGCTTAGTAATATCATCTTGCCATTCACAAAGAAGCCAGATTAGACTCCCAGGTTTTAGTAATGTCTATGTCAGAGTCCATGTTTCCTCATCCAGGTAATATAGCATTTACAAAACTAAGTTTTAACTTACTTTAGGAAGGACTTATTAAAGATTAAAACAAGGCAAAGGTGCTCTTTTCAGTATTTCAAAAACTAAATGTCAGTTAATGTAAAGGTATATATGATATAAAACCAGAGACTTTATTTTTAGAGATAATAGACATCTCACTAAGTTTGAAAAATATTATTTAAAACTTTTTTTTTTTTTAGTTGGGTCCTTTATTTCTTTTATACACTAGGCCATGAATTCGTATGGAATGGGCTCCAGCAGCTCGGGCTCTTTCCCATTAGTCCTCACAAAGTGTGCTTCTCTGGGTGGTGCAGGCTGGCGCTTCAGCTGAACCCGGGTGCCCTTCTCTTTGGCTTCCTTTTTCTTCTGATCGTTCTTCTTCACCCGCTTCAGGAAGCTGTCTCTGCTCTTCGAGTGTTTAATGTGCTCAATCCCCACATTGATCCTCTTGGCCAGAATCTTGCCCTTAACTTGCTTGTTTACAATGATGCCCACGGCATGCTGGGTGACATTGTAGACTCTTCCGGTTTTGCCGTGGTAACACTTATGGGGCATTCCTTTTTGAACAGTACCCATTCCCTTGATGTCTACAATATCACCCTTCTTATAGATTTGCATGTATGTGGCCAAAGGAACAACTCCATGTTTCCTAAAAGGCCTAGAGAACATATACCGAGTGGCTCTCCTCTTTCCCTTTGTGTTCGTCATTTTGGCGAGTTAACTGGAAGATGGCTGCCAAGGCCGTTGAAACTTTTTTCTTTGAGGTTCTGGGATTCATATCCTCAGGTCTTGTTCATGCTAAGCACGTCCCCCCCCCCCCCCCCGCCAAAAAAAAAAAAAAGAGAAAAAAGAAAAAAGCTGTACTAGCTGTTGGCTTTCTTGAAATAGGCTCACCTGGTCTTCACCTAACAAACATGGCTGAATTACAGTTGTGCCAGGCTGGCCTTGATCTGGAAATCTAGCCTCAGCTTCCCAGATACTGGGATTCTAAGCATGCCCCACCCTGCCAATTTTTAAAGTGATTTATTTTGGAAGATTGTAAACAGTTCTAAATAGCTTTAAAGTAGGAAACTGCATGGGGACCTCAGACTCTGATCTTAGCTTTGTCACTCAGCAGTTGTAGGCCCTTTTTTAAAACAAACAAACAAACAAACAAACCAGAAACAAAAAATCCTTGTTAACATCATTTTGTCAACTTTTCTGCATTAAAGTCAAGTAGCTTTATTGAACTATCCATGGTCCCTTTATACTAAGTTGTAAGATACTTTTTTCCTTCTGCTTCCTGCCTTGCAGAACCTTCTTTCTCAGTATTATATCATTTCTGGTAACTTATGAATAGCCTTCCTGGAATTCTTGTCCAACTCTCAAAACAATACAGAACAGAATAGAACAAAACAGACTGTTGGCATTTGTCTGGACCCAGAGCCTCTTAGCCATAACAAGCCTGTTAGGGCTGTGATTGTGTACTGTGTTTGTATTCATATTTGACTACTTCTCTGACTCTCCTGTGAGGTAAGGACTCTGTTGTCCTGTTTCTCTTTTTAGCCTTAATATCTGTTACAATTGTTACTCAGATAATATTTGTTAAGTGAATGCTCATTAGCTAAGTTTGACTTATGCCAATGGTAAGAGTATTGATTAGTCTTTCGAGAACTGATGTTTGTGTTCTGTAGATGCTTAGGTAGTTTTGTACAGGGCAGGACATTGTATATGGGTGGAGCATGTTATTTGCAACCTGTTTTTTTTTTTTTAAAGATTTATTTATCTATATGAATACACTGTAGCTGTCTTCAGACACACCAGAAGAGGGCATCAGATCTCATTACAGATGGTTGTGAGCCACCATGTGGTTGCTGGGAATTGAACTCAGAACCTCTGGAAGAGCAGTCAGTGCTCTTCTGCTCTTAAACTGCTAAGCCATCTCTCCAGCCCCGCAACCTGTTTTTTTTTTTTTTAAATTCTTGAGCAAAAGCAGAATTGTGGGATGAGTTGCATTTGGCAGATAAGTAGATGCAGTTGACAGATCAATGGGTTGGACCCACAGGGCATCAGTTTCTGTCAAGGGCACCTTAAAATAGCTACTAGTTTGGCTTATTTATACATATTTAAAAGCACATTCTGTTGGAAACACTCAAAGTGCTGTGAGAAAGAGCATTCCATATTTATTTTTGGTGTTGACCTAAAAGCTAGAGAATATTATTTTCAGATTTAAAAAAAATATTTATTTTATGTATATGAGCACATTGTAGCTGTCTTCAGACACACCAGAAGAGGCTGTGATCCACCATATTGAGCTGGGAATTGAACTTAGGACCTTTGGAACAGCAACCAGTGCTCTTAACCACTGAGCCATCTTTTCAGCCATATATTTTCAGATTTTAGTACATTAGTCTGTCAAACCTAAATATTATTGTATGGTAGCACAATCTTCGTGTATTAAAACACACTCCCCTACATACATCTTTCATTTTAGAATAGTGTCTTTGCACTACTTAAAACTTAAATAACTTCAATAACTTAAAAAAATAACTTCAATAACTTAAAAAAGTTGTTTGTTGAATTAATAAAACAATTAGCTAAACCCACTGAAGTGTACTTCTCACTTGTTACTTCACTTAATGATTGTCTATATTTCTATTATACTGTGATTCCGGTCTCCTTTAGCTGTCATAAGGAAATTCAGGTTTTGTTGTTGTTGTTTGTTTGTTTGTTTGTTTATCTCCAGAGTCTTTGAATTCTTAGTTTTTGATTCACAAATGAATGGAAATAGTTATATATATAAAAAATTGTTTTACTAAATAATCTGCTTAGTTTTAATTTTTGTTGTTTATTTCTGAGGCAGTATTTTAGTTTGTAGCCCTGGCTATTCTGGAACTTGTATGTAGACCAGGTCAGTCTCAGAAAGATCTACCTACCTCTGACTCCCCAGTGCTGGAATTAAAGGTATGCACTATGACTCCTGGCCCAGTTGCTTAGTTTTGCAAAGTTCTGTTTAAATTCGTAGAAATCATACTCGGGCTGAACGCTCAGACTAAGAGTTCCAACGTGCCTGCTGAGTTTGAATTGCTTCTGATAGATGTGTTACATTCATTTTTGGAATGAAAAAAAGATGAGAATATTCAGATAGATGCTTATAGGTGAAAATTTGGTGATTCAGGTTGGAGTGAAGGACAATAACAAAGATAAGCTGAGTTTATATGTGATAGTGTCTATTTTTATATTTATTTATTTATGTGTATGTATGTGAGAGACAGAGAGAGAGAGAGAGAGAGAGAGAGAGAGAGAGAGAGAGAGAGAGAAGGAGAGGAGAGGAGAGGACTGGAGAGGAGAGGAGAGGAGAGGAGAGGAGAGAGACAGAGACAAGAACACCAGGGCAGGGGTAGGGGGAGAGAAGAGACTCTGTCACATACCACAGTGCACATGTAGCAATCAGACGATAGTTGCAGGAGTTGATTATCTTCACCATGTCAGTCAGTCATAGGTATCAAACTAGGTCCTTAGGCTTGGCAGCAAGGTATCTTACCCACTGAGCAATCTCACTGGCCCAAATGATAATTAGTTCTTAGAGGGTATAAAAGATACATGTAAGCAGAACTCATGGCAATAGTATGTAAGGGTTTGGGAGCATACAATCTGTAATTGTGGGCTTAACCTCTATAGGCATAGTAAAAGTCAATGTAACA